CCGTGTGAGGTTGGATGAGAGAATGGGGGACGTCTAGCCTGAGGAACGTCGGCCAATACAGGACGTCGGCCGAACTCCCTTGGTCAATGAGTGTCTTCTGTACCTCCTAGTTGACGACTTCCACCACGATAACCATGGGATCATCCTGGTTGGGGCAGACACTTGCGTAGTCCTCGTCAGAGAAGGAGATCGGGGGTGAGCTTTGGTGCGAGGCCGAGGTGGTAGAGTGGATGCAGTTGATATTCTGTAGGTGCCTCTTCCGGGCCGAGCTACTGGCGCCTCCCCCGGCGAAACCACCTGCGATTGTGTTAATTACTCCCCGTAAGGGGGTTGTCCCTGTCTCCTAGCTTATCTCGGCCTGCACTGCGCCGCCGACATTTTGTTGGGAGCTAGAGGGTTGGTCCGTGCGAGCTCCTGAACCCCAGCCTCTGCCCCGCCCCCGACCGCCATAGCCTCCTCGGTGACCCTGCTGTCTCTGGATGTACTGGTCGAGGTGGCCTGCCTGGATGAGCTCTTCGATACGGTCCTAGAGCGTGCGACATTCCTCCGTGGTGTGACCGTGATTCCTGTGGTACCGACAGTGCTTGGACTTGTCGGCACTGTTGGGAGTGTGGCCTGGTGGGGGAAGGGCGAGTAGGTTGCTGTTGCTGACTTCTTCCCCGATGTGGACTCTGGGTGCGTTCACGGGAGTGTAGAAGTCATATCTCCCCCCCTGTTTGGCCTGGCCGACTTCTTGAACTGGCTGTCATTGTTGACTTTGATCTTATCGTTGTTCCCCTGTTCTGGCTTCGTTGGTCCTTTTTCGCGAACCTGGTCACGAAAAGCAGAGTGTTCCTCCATCTGGATGTAGCCTGCAGCGCAGGCGCGAAGCTCGTCCATGTCGCGGGGAGACTCACGACACATGCTGTCGACGAAAGCTCGTCCATGTCGCGAGGGGACTCACGACACAGGCTATCGACGAATGGCCCGGGCTTGAGTGCCATGAGCATGGCATGTAGGGCGACCTCGGGATTCAGGTTCCTGATCTTGATCGAGGTGGCAGCGAATCGTTCCATGAACGCCCGAAGTGGTTCGTCGTCGTTTTTCCTGAGACTGGCCAAGGCGGCTGAAGTTACATGATGAGGTCGGCTCGTCGCATATTGCGCGGTGAACCTCCTGACTAAGGTGCCGAAGCTATCAATGGACTCGGCAGACAGTTGGGTGTACCAGTTGAGCGCGACCCCCTTAAGTGAGGTCGGGAACACCTTACACAAGATAACGTCATTGTTAGTGTAGAGGTTTACCTGTGTCATATACAGGTCGATGTGCTCATCTGGGTCCGTCGTGCCATCATAGCGATCGAGGTGGAGAGGCTTCCACCCATGAGGGAGTGGTGTCTCCATGATGCCATCCACAAAAGGGTGGCGGCAGAAGGTTGTCTGATCCCCTGGGATATGAGTAGGGGCCTTGCTAACTTCATGGGCTAACTTATGTGTCGGTGCATGGGACCGATGTGTGGCAGGTCGTTGAGTCGGTGCCCTAGTTGCGATCCGGGGTTGAGAGACTGAGTGCTCCTCCTCCTCATTGTGGTTGCTCGTATGAGGAGGATGATCGGAGAGGTGTCGAGGGAGTTGAGCGCGGATCCGCTCATTCTCGGCGCGTAGCGCCGCCAGGTCGGCTTCATTAGCGGTACGCATTGTCGTTAGGTTAGTGTCGTGCTTGGCACGCATGTTTTGTAGGTCGGCAGCGTGTTGCTGCCGCATCTGTTCGACTTGATCGATTAGTCTCCTCAACGCTGCTTCGTTATCCATGGTAGTTGAGTGATTTGCGTCGTCTGTTGTGCGTCTACTATGACTTCTGGTGAAAACCATAAGCGTGGCCGATAAGAGCTGTCTTGATCGGTCCCACGGTGGGCGCCAAATGTTCTTACCAGAAATCTGCTGTAGAGATGATCCTCCGAGTAAGATTGGTGAGCCTCCTTCGCTGGTACGCTTGATGCTCCAAGATGGGGGTGGTACCTGCAAAAGAGACTCCGATGCTAAAGTTAGTGTTTGTGGGAATATGAATCTTGTATATGTAATGCACGTACCTTAATGTGAATTAGGATTGCTTTGGGCCTTGGGCCTGAGATAAGATCAGATAGTGGATCTCGTCTGGAGCGGGATCCCTTGAGATCGATTATGATCTGCTTAAATGCCGAGCTGACGCTGCGTGGCGCGTGTTCGAGGTTAGCTCGTGCTGTGGTACCGAGCTCGGAGCTCGGCTTCGGAATATGGATAGTACACAACCATTTCAAAGGTGTTGTCTAACTTTGCTCGCTTAGAGTGCTCATTGGTTGCTCTAAAAGAATTTTCCTCACTTAAAGTGAGCAAATCAATTCTTCCAAGGGTGCTCTTTGTCTAAACCCGCTTAAAGTGGGTTATGAGCATTTAGAGTGAATTTTGCTCATTTAGAGCATGCTTATTGTGGCTTGAAGTGACTTTATCATTTTGATAAGTTGTATCTTCTATCTCATATCTTGTTGTGTTGGTTGTTTACATGAAAATTGTTAATTATTGAATCCAATTCATAGTATGTTAGTCTGTGATGATGTATGATAAAGATTTAAGTTATTTTAAAATTGAAAGTAGTTTGATGTTTGAAGTTGTAAGATGTTGAGTTGTGCATGCATGAGGCATGATGTTATGTTGACTTATGTTGATAAGATCCATGATGCATGATTTGAAGTGTGTAGTGATACTCTAAGACTCCAATTGTTGAAAAATCACAATTTTTCCCTCTATATATAGAGATTTTAGGAATGAAAATTATCATGCTCCTCATATATATATATATATATATATAAACATATAGAAAGCCATGGTCCATCATTGGTATCAACAGCCAATGTTCTTACAACCCATGAAGATGGAAGTCAAAATAAACTTTTAACAAATTTTTCATCATATCTATGATGGAGAAAGTTATGATCTTTGGGTAGTAAGAATGGAAACATACCTAGAGGTTTTAGATTTTTGGAAAGCCATAGAAAATTATGATGTTTTCACACTACCAAAAAAAACCCTAGCATTGCCAAAATGATAATTCACAAAGAAACAAAAATCAAGAAGGTAAAGGCAAAGAGTTGTTTATTTGCTTGTGTCTCAAAATATTTTATCAGAATCAGGACTCTCAAAATTTTGGATAACTTAAAGGAAGAATATAAGATGAAAGGATTTGAAGCATGCAAGTAATAAATCTAAAGGAATTTGAATTATAAAGAATGAAGGAATTTGAAACAATCAAATAATATTCAAATAAATTGTTTAACATTGCTAATAAGGTACAATTACTAGGCACACGATTTCTTGATTCTATAATTGAAAAAATTCTAGAAGTTGTATTGAAAGATATGAAGCTTTAGAACAAAGAGTTGCTACATACATTGTAAGCATTATAACAAAGAAGGCTTATGAAATAAGAAGAAATTATGGAGGATGTATATTTAGTCAAGTGGAAGAACATCAATGGTAATAAAAATAAGAAGGTATCATTCCAAGAGGATGACCAAAATAATAACACTTGGATCTTTTCACCATGTCCTTATTGTAAAAAGACTAATCATCTACAACAAAAATGTTGGTGTAGACCTAACGCAAAATGTTACAATTGCATTCAATTAGGATATATGAAAAATGCATGCATATCTCATGAGAAATAAGAGAAACAACATTGTTAAGAATTAATAAGAAGAAAAAAAAAATTGTCTTCAATGTCATGCTTTATAACCAACAAACTTACAGAAGTTTGGCTTATTGATGGCTATACAAACTATAATCGAAAAATCTTCAAAGAACTCAACAAAACTAATATTTTTAAAGTCCAAATGAAAAATGGAGCAAACCTTGAAATAAAAAGAAATTTTTTTTTTTATTAAAAGTCATTCAAATTTGAAATTTGATGTTTTATATATTTTTTATATTAATCAAAATTTGTTGAATGTTGTTTAATTATTGAAAAAAAAGGTTACAAAATGTTGTTTGAAAACAAGATTTGTGTTATTGAAGATACAACAACAAAGTGTTAGAATGTTTAATGTTCATATGAAAGTCATATTTAACAAGTGATTATTGTGTTGTTTTGGGCTTTTGGACTTAAAGCCCATGAAAATTTGAGTATGTTGTAATAAATGTTATGTTGGGCTGAAAAGTTTTTTTTTCTTTTGCAGATTTTTTTCCAAGTTATGTCAATTTGTTTAAGCTTTAATTTCTTTTTGATGGTTGTAGGAGGTCAAGCTCGTTCGGGTGAAAGTCACCCACCACTAGCTTGTGGCCGGCTATCAGGAGAGTAGAATTATGTTAGAATTAGTTGTTCTGTTAGCTAAGTCTGTTATGGTTAGTTACTTGTTGATAGTGTTCTTTAGTTAATATAAATAAGAGCACCGTGTACTTTTTCAGTCATTCCAATATATTGTTTTGGTGAATGAAATTCAATCAATCCAATATCCTGCCTTCTAAGTATCAATATGATCTTTATCTCTCATGGGTTTGATCTTCATTCTTTGATCCATGGATTTGTAACACCCCACACTCATTTTATGTCGGGCCATAATTTGTAACATCCCTTTGATCCATGGATTTTTTTTTTCAACTTTAGCCTGTTTTATTATATAAAATAATATAAAAAAAAATTCATCATTCGTGAACACTGATTTTAGTTGGAACTTTGAATAGAGGTATGAAATTATCGAACATTTCCATGTGTTTCTGAACTAAAGAACTTAATGAGGATTAGGAAGAGAAGACTATTAGGCAAACCGAGATAATGACCAATTTATCGTTGCTTATACAACCTGGCATTTTATAAGGGAGAGAAGTCTGTTTCAGATCATAGAATGAAGGGACACCTCAATTATTTCACAAATAAGGATCATTTTCTAAATCATGATAAATCGGGGCAACGCACTCAAATCGATTAATTGTAAAAGAAAATACTTTGACCACAAACATAAAGAATGAAAAATACCATGAACTTTCCAAGGATAAAAAAAAAATTATGGGTGGACATTGTAAATGTCCCTAAATATTAAAATTCTCAACTAACAGCTATAAGCAGTTAACATACAAAGGTAAGAATACCATACAACTCAAACTACTTTGATAATGGATAATTACCATGCCTTTAACATTATGAACAAAGAAGCCCTAGATAAATTTTGCTGGCTAGAAATCATCAATTCAAACAGTTGAATTTGTTTTTATTTTCCTACAAACTAGTTGATAGATTATAAAACATTCCTAGATACATACATGTGTGCAGCCACTAACGAGCAAATCAACACCCATAAATAGTAATCCCTTATGCAGAATCAGTCTTCATTGGACTCTAAAAGGAACTAAAGAGCTGGTGAGAAGGCGTTTCCATAAAGGTACTTATTGTTTCCCCTTCGATTTTTGAAGGAGTATTTGCAGTTAAGTTGATCTACAATTACTCTGAAAATTGAAGAGGAAACAATATGTACCATTTTGAACACGTCTTCTCACCAATTACTAAGCGTAGTGTAGAGCCCAATGAAAACCGAGTCTGTATAAAGGATAGCTATTACGGACTTTGTACCTTTATGGAAAGGCCTTCTCACGAAATATTTCAACCTGTTGCAAACAAGATTCACACCTTCACAACCAACATAAATATAATAAGGACAAATACATTAAAGACAAAAACATATTTTTCGTCTCGTATATTATTTATTAGTGTCAATTTAGTCCTACGTTAATTATTTGAATCAATTTATTCCCACATCTTTAAAATGTATCTCAATATTTAATTTTTCATCTCCTCTATTTAAATACTTGATGGATGTGACATGTGTCACATCTGTTAAGTATTTAAACAGAAAGAACGGAAAATCAAATATTAAGATACATTTTAAAGATATGAAACTATATTGATTTAATTAATTAAAGTGAAACTAAATTGAATCTAATAAATAATATAAGTGACAAAAAGTATATTTTTGCCTAAATTAAACATACTAACTTAGAAGGAAATGGTGTAATTCATACATATAACGGAGCAAGCACATTCAACTTTTTTTATTTTCCTCTTCTGTTCAATTTTATACAAAATGCAGACCAAGGTAAAAAAGGAACATTAAAAGAAGAAAAAAAGAATGAGAAATTATAATAATGAACTCATGAATGAGAAAATAAATACTTGGTGTAATATACCGATAGAATACTCTGTTCAATTTTATTTGTATTCTAGTTTGAAAAATATCAAAGAATACAAATACATATATCCAGGCTCTAAAGAATACAGATAGAATACTTATTTGATAGGAAGGCTAACTTAGAAATTTAGATTACAACAGAGTAGACAACTTATGTAGAGAATAACACATACAATGTTGGAAAAATAGCTAAATAACTCTTCTATTTTTATTAAAGAAGAAATTTATTAAGATGGGCATAATCATCATTGTAATTACAATAAGCCCTGATAAAATATAATGTTCAAATCACATATCATGTAGTTAAACTAATAATATTCACAATCTTATAAAGCATAAGACTCAAAGAAATAGTTATCAACTTACCTATTCAGTGAACACGCTTGAACGGTCACGAGATGGATATCTTTCTATGATTGGGTGGCTCACTTTGGGAAAATTTATAAAATTTGGCTCCTCCTTCAGTGTGTTGCCACTGCTATCTACGTTGACTTTCATTTGACTAAAATCAGTTACAGATGATTCAATTTCATTTTCTACAAACCTACTTGGAATGCAGGTACCTTTTCCAACAAACCCAAGATTCCTAAGACATACTTGATCAAGTGAATCATCTGATTTAAAACCATAGGGATCTTGTCTATCAGACATAGGCAACAGGCTAGGCAAAGGTCTTGCAGCGCCAAATGAAAAAGTTGAGTTTTGAAGCTGCTGAATATTGCCATTGCTGGAGCCCGTTGAACAAGTCGAGGGTGTAGTATACCCATAGAGAACACCTTGGGCTTTTGTGTCCCCACCAGGAAATTGAGAAGCAATCAATGAATAATTTGATTTCTGTGAAAATAGACTATAATCAATAGCGGCATTCCTGCCAAAACTGCAATCCTGATTGACAGAAGCAGGACTATTTACTGCCTTGAAAGTGTCGGAAGATTGAGAGGGAACCACCAAACAAGATGGTTGTACATTGATTGAACAACTTTGATCATGTATCAGTGACTGCTGCTGCAGCTGTCGCTGTTGTTTTTGCTGGTGCTGCTGCCTTTGTTGGTGCTCTAACATATCCATCAGCATGTTGTTATTCTGAATACCCACTCTTTCAAGACTAGTATTGGGTCTCACGGAACCAATTGTATTATTAGATGATGGCCATGCACCATATCCAGATGACGTATCATTTACAGTTAAGCCAGATGGAGGGAAATTCTTGTTAATGTTGGAAGGACACTTTACAAGAGGTTGACCATATGCTACAGCATGTTCAGAATGGGAATGTTTTGGCCCCTGCATGGATGCTTGCAGTAGAGCAGTCTGGTCCACTGTAGGCATTATGTTAGTTGCTGGGCAACCTAGGAGCTCAGCATGAAGGGCTGCAAGTGTTTCAGGAGGAACATGGCCAGCAGCAGCCAAAGCTTGTATGTCAAATCTTCCAGTAGCACCCAGCTTGGATTCTATAGTCCCAGGAACTGCGTTTAGCATCCCATTCTGCTGCTGTGCCACTCCACTTAATCGCTTCAAATAGAGTCTAAATTTCTGCCAATGAATATTGAAATTCACAATGGCAATGTTAATTACACTGAAGAGCTACAAAACATAGGTTTATTTATCTACAATCTATTGCCTCAGGTTGTAAAGAAGACAAAATATTTACTTACGTAACCAAAAAAAACAAGGCAACATATGAAATTGACATCAAGACATTGAAAATAACAAGCTAGCATTTAATAAATAATAAGTAAACTGAAGGCCAAGGTACATGTAAATAAATTTAACACATAAACTAAAAAGAAATTAGAAATAAAAATAAGAACATAAACATATTGCAACTGACTAGATCAGCTCAATATCCAACGGTTTTAAATTAAAACAAAAAAAAAAAGAAAAAAAAGCAAGCAATTTTTAGGGAAAATGGTAAAGTACCACTTCACATTTTGAACTGAAAACAAACCTGCAAATGACTTGCAACATTTTCTCTTGTCAAACCAGGGACATTCATCAATTCAAGTATTCTCTTTGGCACAGCCTCTGAAATACAAGGATATGGAACATCTGATAAGCTAAATTGCAATAAATGCTTAAATACTCAAAAGGAAAAGATTTTACTTGTAAGGTTATAGTAATCCAATGAAGTCTAGTCAGTGAATGAGAAAGCAAATGATATAGAAAGAAAAATATAGTCGAAGATTCATACTGTCAAGCCCAAGTTGATTCACAGCACTGACAAATTGTTGATGCAGTTCTACTGACCACACAACACGGGGCTTCTTAGATGTAGTTGGATCATCACTCTCCAATTCAACATCTTCTTCTTTTAAATTGCTCCTCTTTTTTGGTGCTTTAACTATTTCTGATGCATCAACAGCAGAAGTATATTCAGTATCATCATTCCCCCTTTTATTCCGATCATTATCTTCCATGCTGCCAGAATGATCATGTTCTTTATTTTCATTCAAGATTTTCCTAGCAACATGCTGCCATATATTCCTTAGTTCTTCCTCACGTACAGGCTTAATCAAATAGTCGCAGGCCCCATGTCTGATTCCCTTCATGACAGCACTTGTTGTACTATCACCAGACATCACTGAATCATGCACAACATAAGCAATTTTCAATGTTAAGCATTATAAACACACTTGTAATTCTACAGACACGAGAAACAGCACTTACTAATAACAGGAAGGTCCATTTCCAGCCCAACATGTTCAAGGAGTTTATAGCCATCCATGTCTGGCATATGAACATCACTCAGTATCACATCAAAACAACCTTTCCTTTCCCGCAGAAGATTTAAAGCAACAGTAGCCTCAGTGCACGTGGTAACTGGAAGATAAAAACACAATAAGAGTTAAGAACAAACAATATTGTTCAAATTAAGACGAATTGTCATCAGCAGCAACCCATGTCATACATTTACTAGATCTACATTTCCAAATTCCCAGGCCATTTTTTTATAGAAATTTCAGGCCATAGTGAATAGCCTGCAAACATAAATTTTCCCCATTAGAGTAAAAAAAAACCCTTATCTCATTCATTACGCACAGTTGAACTCATTAAATAAGCACACAAGAAAATTAAAATAAAAATCACAAATCCTATCTGCCTGTTTGTTTACAATTATCTTCACGAGTCAAACAGTATGAGGATTCACACAAAGGCAAAATTTAGCCAAATGTTAATCAAACACACTATATAACAACGGGTCCAGTTTTATAGGCGGAGTATAAAAGGCACAAACCCTTTTGCTATAGCCTATAACAACTGTGAAGCAAGAATATCATGCAAATCTTCCTAGGACTTCCTTCTTTTCATAGGCACAAATCAATTAAAAGATTAAGAAATGAAACACATTACACTATAACAGAATGTTTAAAAATTAAAAGGTTAACTTAATAAACGCACACAACCTTGCATTGTAAGACTCAGTTAAACTAGGAAAATCCCGAAAACCTAATGCATCCATGGTCATCCTCGACCCTAACATAACCAACACAGGCATGGTTTAAGTGGAATTAAGCTCAGTCCCCCTAAAACAAAGTCAAACTCTCAGTTTAACCGTTGAGAACAGAAAAACCAGAAAGGTACGTAAAAGTAAGTTCGACACTTAAGGGAGTATTTGGGAAAAATTTTCCAGAAAGAATATATTATTTTCCAAAAAGTTCTTTAAGTAAGCTAAGCTAGTGAACTAAAAGAAAGAAAAAAAAAAAGACTTAAATCCACTTTTGATTTCTATAGTTTTGCGAATGTGTAATTTTCGTTCTCATTTTTTTTGTTGTTGCAAATTTAGCACTTTTAGTTTTCAAATAATATTCATCCACCCGTTAATATGTCATCTAAAATTATACAGAAAATACTGACAAGCCCATAATGCACTACCTAGTAGTTACTTAGAGTCTTAGACATGTTAATTTCTATGTCTACAGATATATTATATATTTCTTTTTTATTTCAATTAAAATTTATAATTATTAAAATAATTTGATTTATTTTATTTTTAATACTATTATTTTTTTACATAACGAACTAACTGTTGGACAGTATGATTCACAAACATACACGTCAACGTTTTTTTAATTAATTCTAGATGACGTGTTAATCCGAAGCCAATATTGCTTCAAACTGTGAGGACTGAGGATGACATGTTAACCGGGACTAATTGTAATAAAAAAATTTTGGTTGACAAACATTTGTAAAACAAAATGATTATCAGTGCGTTTGTTTAAACTTAAAAAAAATATTTATAAATAAGTGCTTTAAAAAAGAATATTTCTTTTAAGATGTAGAAAAGAGTTACTTCTTTAAAAGAAAAAAAAACTGCTTATTTAAAAAAAAATAAAATAGACAAACAAGTTAAAAAAGTATAAAGTGCTTATTTTTATTTTAAAAAAAAAAAACATTTTTTAAGAAAAAAAATAATTTAAACAAACATACCCTAATTCTCAAAGTGACTTTCCTATACGAGTTGAAAAGAGAAAAAGAAAAACATGAGCGTTAATTTTTAAATAAGCTATCAATTTTGTCTTTGAAGTTTGAACTACTATTACTCTCCCTCTTCTAACTAGTAACAAAATTTTATAAATAATCATTAAAATATTGAATAGTCATTACTTTAAGTAATTCCTACGGTAATGTATGACATGTATCGTATCCTATGGCAGGTTCAATTTGAAGTGCTTTTTAATATTTGAGAACTAAGTAATTTATATTTTTCTCGAGGGACCAATCAGAAGAAAGTAATACACAAACTAAGAAATTAGTTAATTAGTTAATCTCTTACAAAAGCAATTAATTAACAAATTCGAAAACCGGAAGTTCCACGAGAACCAACCTCGGTAACGACAGCGTATAGACATTTGCTCGATAATCCTCAAGGTGGTGGCGTCGTCGTCGACGACGAGAACCCGGAGCCCCGCGGGGAACTCGGCGGAGGGCTTGTCGGCGGCGGAATGCGGCGGTGTGTGGAGCGAGGCGGCCATGAAGCGACAAACGGCGTCGTTTGGCGCGAATTCAGAGCGTGAGAGAATGTGGGAGAGCGCGCATAGGCGTGCGTGCGAAACCCTAGAGGGAAAGGAAAGTGAGGGGAGAGAGGGGAAAAGCGGTGGATCGAGGCGGAGGTGAAGGTTGGAGTGATTGGGAAGGAAGAAGTGTGGAATTGAAGAAATATGGGGAGGGAAAAGGAAAGGTGTGTGCGATGGAAATGAATTGATAATGGTGGGAAAAGATATTAATAGATAACGCCACCTAGAGAGATAAAATTATATTCTTAATTACGTTCGTATCAGTTAATGAAGGAATTGCACACGTCACTTTTTTCTATGTCATATGTCATGCTGCCAGTCTTATTATTAGACAACAACTAACTAGTGCTGCACTGTCTGCCTCCATGCTATTTGCTCTCGCATTTCATTTTAGATTTGGGTTAGATTATTGTTTTTTTTTTTTATCTTTTCTTTATTTATTTATTTGGTTTAAATATTTTCTCTTTCATTTAGTCTTTGTAATTTAATTCTTTTTTTAAAATTCATATAGTTAGCTTTTATAAACTCTTTAAATTCTTACCATTATAAGTTCTATATACCGCCTCTTTGGTAATGATGTGACAAATATTTTTTATTTTATATATGTGACATGGAAATTATTTTGTTGTTAATATTTTTTTAATAATATAATTTCATTTATTTTATTTTTTAGTTTTTCTAGTTTAAAATAGATATGGTTAGTTTGTATATTTATCTTTTTGATCTCTTTAAGTCTTTATCGTTAATTTGTATTTAACGTCATTTTTATGTGAGTGATGTGAGCTTTATTAAATGCACATGACAATTATATTTTGTGGAGTGCAATGAAGTGTAGTGGTGTTGTTGTTTTTGGTTATGATGGGTGTCTTGTGTAAGGGAGTTTGGTGGACTTTTATGGCGGACCATGTTGTCGATTAGTGAACTTTTGAGATGAAGCATATTGGTGAAGGTAGGGAGTTAATTTTAATTCATTTTCTTCATCCTATTATTCTTTCTGAATTCACATAGGAAAAATGTTTTATTTCTTGACCAAGTCAATTTCATGTGAAACTAGGGATGTATTTGCACATTTTCATTGTTAATATATTTCACAGAGGTCATTTGCTAAAGATGTCAACATAGTTACAAGGTGATCATTGATCGGTTAAAATACATGTGGGAGAAGGGTTGGATATTTACGATGATCAAATGTATTCTAAATGAATGATCAATGCAATAAATGAGTAGTTTTCTAGAAAAAAAATATTATAAAGTATATGACACTGATTGCTGCAATTATCCTAATCAAAAAATATTAGTAGGGACTTAAAGAGTTTAAAAAGGTAAATGTATGAACTAAAAGATAAAATATGTAAATCATAATGATTTAAATGTAAAGTAAGTGAAATTATAAGAACTAAAAAGGTATTTAATTTAACCACATAATAATTTTCATGTCACAAATAAAACATTGAAGACTTTTGCCACGTCAACCCAAAGGCAACGACATTACACCAAATTAACTATAAGGGCTTAAAAGGATTAAAAAAGTTTAGTATAGAGACTAAAAATTTATTTTAAATTATAGAGACTAAAAAGTAAAGTAAGTGAAATCATAGGGATAAAAAGATATTTTAAATTATTCATATTTTGTCTTTTACTTTTTTAAAATTTAAATAGATTTTTTCTTGATTGTTAGCTTTAGAATATTGTGTAGACCATATTTATAGAAGAAAAATAATTCATCATTTTTAATTTTTGAAACACGATTCTAAGTTTTTTTACGAATTTAAAATGTGAAGCTTTATCCATTAAATTCACCTATTTATACAATATGAAACAGGAAAAAAATGTCTAACTTTATTTTAAATTACCTATTTACGTCACCCGACACACTATTACAAGAAAAAAAAATACAATATCTTTTTCCGTAAGCTGTAGAAGAGTAGAAGAAGGTAACATTTATTTGAAGGTTTTATTTTGTTGTTTGTTTTTGTATGTTTACCAACATGTTGAGGTTTTTTCTTTAGTTAGATTAAACTGCATATACATAGCCACTTCTTGTGGGACTTTTGGATGAATCTTAGAGTAAGTTAACCATGTATATACAATGACTCAAATTGCGTATATAGGCTTTATTTAATAAATTATTTGATTTTTTTTTAAATATTTATATCAAACTATTTATATTGTTAATGTGTTTAATAGAAATATCTAATTATATCGATACAAATAGAGTTTTATATATAAAAACTAGTTAATTTTTGGAAAAAAAAATTATAATTTCCAAAAACAATTTAACAAAACTTAAAGAGTTGAACTTGATTGACCCAATTCAATTTAACTTATCATGATTATGTCGATATGATTTGGATTTGACAAAAAAGTTACACATGTTTAATTCAACTCAGCTTATAGAATTTTGATTGAATTGGATAATGAATTTAGTCAAATTCAACCTATATCAACTCATGAGTATCTCAATGAAGTTATTTTAGTAAAGTGTATTCTTGTAAAAAATATACTTATATGTCCAAGAAAGTTTCATCGTAATCAAACATGAAAATATTTAATTTCGAAGAAATTTTTATAAGTGTTTAGTTTTTGTGGGACAATTTATTTAGTGAAAAATTAGTGTTCAATCTCCATTGTGTGTAGGCATGACAATCTAACCCGCCCCCGTGAGTACCCACCCAAACCTGCCTCGATTTGGACGGGAAAAACCCGTGTTTATCGGGTTCAGATTTTTCCTGATTGATAAAATCGGGGACGGGGGCAGGGACGGGGATGTTAATACCCACCCCGCCCCCGCCCCCGCCCTGCTTAATAATATAATTAAAAAATTATTTTTATATATATATACCAAAATTAAAAATATTTATATGTAAAAATTTATATTATTTTACTTTTTTTTATTTTTTTAAATTGTTCATATTTATTTAAAAGAAAAAAGAAAAAATAAGGAAAAAAAATAGGAGTGGGGGCGGGGGCGGGGCGGGGAAACCTAAACCCCACCGGGGGCGGGGATGGGGACCCAAATTTTACCCCGACGAGTATCGAGGGCGAGGACGGGGTGATTTAAATTTGCGGGAGCGGGGACGGGTTTTACGTTCCCCGTCGCCCCGCCCCGCCCCGTTGCCATGCCTAATTGTGTGTGAAAACTTGTCGAGTCAATAATAGTCATATTTTTATGAGAGAGATTAGTTTACGACCTAGAAAGATAGAATGCCCATGATAATGACAAAAAAAGAAATTCTCTTTATTTTAAGACATTTATACCTTTTTTTTATCATATTTTAATATTTTCTTATCAATATATAAGTTAAGAGTAAAATAAGAAAAATATATATATACAATAAGTTAAGGCTTAATTACTCTTTTGGTCTCTCATTTTATTCGATGAATTTAATTTGATTCCTCTATTTTTAAAATGTTTAATTTGGTCCCTTAATTTTTAAAAATGTTATAATAGGATCCTTTTCATCCAATTAAATAATAACTTAAAGTTTTTGTACGCATGACAATATGTGTCATTTTTTTTATTACGTCATGTGTACAATAGGTTAATATTGTTAATGTTAATTAGACTAAAAAGACTATATTGTATATTTTTAAAAATTAAGAGACAAAATTGAATAAATAAAATAAAATGAGAAACTAGAAGAGTAATTTAGCCATAAGTTAATTACTCACTTCATCAATGTTAGTTGCTCATTTATTTATTTCAATGGAGACATAAAATATTTTTTCCCCACTGATAATGTATAGTAAAGCTATTAGCTTCTACAATCAACCCTTGTACACTATAAATATCTTGGGTGAAAGTATTTTTTATGAGTTTTTCGTCGACAAAAAGAGTTTTAGGAATTCTTTTGACTATATATCTAATTTGATTTTTATTTTTAATAATTATTTTTAATTAAATTTTAATATTTAAAATAAATTATTAATAAATAAAAATAATTTTGTGTAACAATATAATTTTTTTATCATAAATATAAAATATAATATATATATATTAAAAATATCTATTTATTCAAAATGATAAATATAAGTTTTATATTTAAATATAATATTTATTTGTATACTTAATTTATTATAAAATTTTAGTTATACATAATAAACATTATTATGTGTATTTCACGTGTTAAAATACTAATTTTTTTTCGACTCATACTTAAAACAATATTCGACTGATTTACGTTTTTTACATTATTAATTCATGAGAATAAAATAAATTTGCTATTCAATAATTTGAAAAAAGATTTAAATATTTTTAGTGTCTCAAATTTAAATTAAATTTATTTTTAGCCTCTTAAATTTAAAATTGATCTTTTTATTTCTTATAATTTTGAAAAATATTGTTTTAGTTTTTATACTCAAATTTTGTTAAGAAATCTACTAAATATTATCGTATCAAATTTACCTATTAATATACCTGTTAGTGAAAATATCATATTAAACATAATTAATGGTATATAATTATCTTAATTTATTATTTTTAAATATATCATTAAAATAAAATTTTTAAAAATTATAAAATTAAAAATAATAATTTTAAATTTAAAAATTAAAAATAAATTTATCTTAACTTTAAAAATTAGAAAGTCATCTATGTAACTTCCTTTATGCTTTTTCCCAAAGTATGCGATCTACACATGACACAACATGTGTACAAGGTCCCATCAACCCAGCCTTGTCTTTTTGTCATAGTGTTCCAAAACTAGTTTTTTCTCTGAACCCAATACGGTCATTTCCAAGCAAATAGATCTTCCATAAGGCCTTCATTCTACAATTGCCAACACACCAATTCCAACCTTATCTTGAGGACACCTCCATCTCCTTCCTTTGGTTATTGTTAGAGCACAAACAAGGTAATTTGACAAATACAAGAGCCACCATACTATGCAATATGAACCATACTACACTTCCCATGAAAGGTGTGGCCACATGGACAGTGATGCCATCACCTATGCTTCCTATACCATTACCATCTTCTCTCAATAAAATTTCCACTCACAATTTGGGCTTGTGTTGTCCCTTAAAAGATTTGACTTTGAGCAACCAAAGAGGTACAAGCCTCTTGTGTGCAGCAAGGAGGCAAATTAGATACCAAGATGAGGATGAAGATAGTGATGAAGAGTATGGGCACAATGAGGAGATTGCTAAGTTAGAGTTTTATAGTCAAACAGCAAAAGGAGAAGCACTCATTGTGCATGCACTTGTTGA